GTTCAAGTGCCACAGCCAGGTGCCCTGCCTTTGCCCGGATGATGCGATGTCCTCCCTGCCAGCGAAATCACACGCACCAGAAGCAGAGCCTGCCCTCTCCGACCCTCGCTCCGCCTCCTCCACTCCCCTACAGGACGTTAAACGACGACCATTCCTACTGCCAGTGTCCTGCTGCTGTGTAGCCGACCACCACGATCAGAACCGCGATCACTGCAACATGGACGCCGGCCGACACGACACTACCACCGCCCCTGCCGCTACCTCCACCACCCCCACCATGCCAAGGGTACTATTACTATTACAAAATACCGTCTACAGACACATTGCATAAAGCTGAACCCTAATGGGACTAAAACGACGAAAGCAAACATGATGGTGGCGATAGCCATGATCATTGTGTTGCTGTTGCTTGTGCTGCTGCTGATGATGATGATGGTGGTGATGAAGCTGCTGATGATGCTGACGACTGCGGGGCCACCTGCGACGACGATTCACAAGTAGGCTTTTCTTCACCACGCGGCTCACAGAGCCTGCTTGGCCACTTTCACCGCCGAGTTCGTTGGGCGTGGCGCCTGGGTGCTCGCGCGAGAACCGAAGCTTCGCAAACCTCCGAATGCCAAGACCATGGCTGGACGGGTTACCGGCGTCACCACCATCTTCCCCGGGGTCCTGGCTAGGGACATGACATGGCTGCTGCGGCATGCTTGCATCTTGTCACATTGCAGCTGTAGCTCCAAAACCTGTGTTGCTCGTCTCTTTAGGCACACCGCATCCACACATACAAACCAGGATTTGCCGAAGTGCACACTGTATTGCTGGCAGGAGGACATGCCAAACTGCACACAAGTGTGCAAGACCAGCATTTCTGAGACCATCCGTCATCCGTCTCTGCCACCTATGAAAGCTTAGCGACAGCGAACGTGGAGAGAGAGAGCGAGAGAGAGAGAGAGAGAGAGAGAGAGAGAGAGCGCGAGTGAGAGACACTCAGCAAAACAGGAGCCGGTTCTCCTCGTCACCGGCCGCCGTTCAGTATCCACGGGGCGGCGAATCTGGCAGCTACGCGCTCGTCCGAGGGTAGAGGGCAGGAAGTTGAACATTCACAAACTTTCTCTGAGGAAAGTCGGCTAGTCAGCAGACTCACGTCCGAGCCCTCGCCTCCACGCGATGCCTGGCATTGCAGCTTTACTGAGTCCCTGAGAAAAGAACCGGAAGACTTCATGCGCAGCACCGTCAACACCAGGCACGTACGTGAGTGTAGTGCTCAAGCAACGTCAGAAACGAGTGTGGCGACTGGTCGTTCTTGCAGCTTGCACATCGAAACGCGCAGATATCTCCCAGATGCCTTGGCGTCTTGGCATGGGGCAGTGCCACGTCCTCGATGCTCCGCAGGCACTGCAGGGTCACTTCAAGTACGCCTCTCCTTTCTCGAGATCAGCCTGAACCTCAATCCCGGAACCACCTGAGACCGAAGTGGGGGTCTATGCGTCGAGCATCCTCGAGCCCATAGGCCTACCCGAATTCGTCAGCGCCGAAGCTTCTAAATCCCAGCTGAGCAAGTACAGCGCAAGTGCATCCAGCATGTAGAATTCAAAAATCAAACTCCTCCGGTTTCCTATAATTCCCATACCCGGGCTTTCTTTGATCCCCTACACCCTAAACCTTTGGTTCTCCTCGTCGTCGGCGGGAGGGCAGCTGCTGGGCCGGCGCCCCAAGCTTACGCGGCGCACGGTGCGGAGCTCAGGACCTTCTGTCCGCAAAAAGACGGCTGACTCATACCCATATATTATTTCTATCATTACTATTATTGCTATTATTGTTATTGTTGCTATTATTGCTATTATTACTATTATTTTTATTACTATTGTTACTTTTTTTTATTTCTGTTATTGCTAAGCTGAGCCCAAGGACCCTGCCTTTGGGCACCGTAAGCTGCGGCCTCCAGCTCTTGGATCTCTCCAGCGATTGGCCTTGCAGGCACTGTCCAAGAGACAATATCTACAATGAGGAGCTCTGAATGGACTTTAGACTCCCTTAGAGGCCCGGCAGCTGCGTGACGTCCGCAGCGATCGTGAGAAGAAGTCGCCCTGCAAGATGGGGCGAGGAAGGAAGAAAAGGGACGAGGACACCGTATCTTGTTGCAGGGAAAGACCACGACAAGCAGCATTGCCCCGCTAGCCACATGGCAACCGACAGGGTCAGGAATATAGGTGCAGTGCAACACAAGGAGCAGCACTCGACTTGTCTGCAGCTCCTGTCGGACGCCACCAATCCGAATGTACACCACGAAATCTTCGTGCCCGGGAGACAGGTGGGCTGCTGAGAATACACAGCCATGCGTCCTCTAAGGAAACATGATCACAACATGCAGGTACACACCACGACAAGCAGAACAGCTCAAACACCACAGCTTTACTTGTTGAACCCATGGTTTGCCCTGCTGGCCACATGGCAACCGACAGGGTCAGGAATATAGGTGCAGTGCAACACAAGGAGCAGCACTCGACTTGTCTGCAGTTCGTGTTGGACGCCACCAATCGGAATGTACACCACGAAATCTTCGTGCCCCGGAGAAGGTGGGCTGCTGAGAATACACAGCCATGCGTCCTCTAAGGAAACATGATCACAACATGCAGGTACACACCAGGACAAGCAGAACAGCTCAAAAACCACAGCTTTACTTGTTGAACCCAGGAATATAGGTGCAGCGCAACACAAGGAGCAGCACTCGACTTGTACACCACGAAATCTTCGTGCCCC